GCGGGTGCGTACAGGCTACCAGTCGTGGCGCATGGAACGCCGCAGACCACGTACTAGTCCTAGGAGCGAGCGAGAGATCGAGACTGGGATGGGCCGGGGCTATAGGCAGAGTACTACTAGTAGCTTTGGTAGGGACATGCCTCCGCGATCACGGCGCAGCGCTCCACGTCGACGTCCGTAGCGCGCGCAGAGGCATAGCAGAGCGCAGTCAGTCAGTCAGTGGCCGGACGCAGAGCCAGCCCGTGCGTGCCCCGAGGCCGCCCAGCCTGTGGAGTGCGGCTCTTCCCCACGAACAGGAGGCACACGCCGACTACTGGTGCCGCGCCACGCGCCCCCCTCCCGGCCGCCGGCTCACATGCCCCGGTGGCCAGCCCGGCACGCGCCCGCCCTGGCGCTCTGCGCACACTCTCGTGTGTGTAACATGAAACAAGATCTTTTCTCGGACACGGAAGGGGGCCGGTCACCACCTGCGCCTACGCGTGGCATTCTCCATTTATCTTTTCTCTTTTTTCCATGGACCAGATGGTTGCGGCGTAGCCCCGGTTACCTTTGGAATAAAATCATGCACGCACGCGCCGCCGTGTCACATCTGTCTCCCCCTAGCTTGAAAAATATTACACGGAGAACTTGTAGAGTTTCGCCAGAATCTCTCTCTCTATCTCTCTCTGGGCTATGGAGTACTACCACGTGCTTCCTTGCAGTTGCGCCTGAGGCCAACTCCAGCCGCGACCCCGAATCGTTCGGGCTGTCCGTCGTTTGGGCTAAACGGACATACCAGATGTCCCAACGCGGAACCCGTCCTTAAAAAAAAACGTCTGTTTTTGGTCCGCCTCACCCCATCCCGAAACGTAAATTTGGTCTGGCTTTGCATCTGAAACGGAAACAAACGGATGTTCTCTGGGCCATCCTCGTCTGACTGGGTACCTTTTGCATGCGGCCCTAGCCCGCATGTTATCCTCTCTTCTCTTCTACCTCACGTGGCCCACAATGCCCACTCATCATCCTCTCTCTTCACCTTTTCCTCTTTCTTCTGCTCCTCTCCATGCCGGTGCACACCACCTCCTCATGCGGCGTGCAATAGCTCCTCGGCGAACCGTGGGCGAGCGCGAGCATGGGAGAGGGGCGAGCGCGCGGCTTCCTCTCTCCTCCGTCGACGAGAGCCCGCGTTGGAGCAACCATGTGCGCAGGCGGGCGCATAGGGGAACGGCGGGGCGCGGCGCGGCGCGCGGGAGGGGGGGACGGGGCGTGGCGTGCACAGGGGCTAGGCGTGGCGCG